AAATCCAAGCACCATAACAAACTGTACTTGCCATTTTCAACATACCAAGCTCTTACATTCCAACACTGTTTGGAAGACATGGTAAAACAATAAAATCACAAAACATTTGACACCAAAATGGGAGGTTTAAATCTAAAAATAAATATTCTACACTGAACACTCTGATGAGCTGCAATTAATAAACATCATATCATAGAAGACATACTAAATACTGCTCCAAACATAGATACACCTTGTTATGAAACACGTAGTAATTACTATGAAACATTGGTAGCTAAACATTCATTATGGAAGCACTATTATGAAATAGAAATCTTAATAAGACACTCTATGTGGAACCTATTAATTTAGTGGCATAGAGTCCAACAGTTTCATGATACCAGGACTGAAATATATATTATCAGCTGTACAATATACCTAAATTATAATCTGTACTGAAAATATGTAGCACTATGCTGCAAAGTCCTCTTCACTACCACACTTCAGTTAGCAGTATCTCTCTTTTCATGACAAATACGTTTTGTGAATTATATTCATGAAAGGCTCTTCTACTTTTGAATAATGTTCTTTTCTCTCTTTATTATTTAGCAGATTACATTTTTAGCTTAGACCTGTTTCCCTATATGAACTGTAGTGACAGAAAATTCTATCACATACTATTAAATCATTCTGCATTGTGAATAAAATCTGTAGATTGTCTTACATAATCCTAGACCTTTTATTTTTAAATGTTATCAATATTTGATTGTACATGTTAAGAGGTATTGAAAATCTTGATATGTGAAGGCTCATACAAACTTAGGCATAAAAAAGGTACTTTATAAAACCCAAGAAAAAACAAAACTCCTCTGCTCAGTATAAAACGTATTTCATATTGCTTTACAATGAATAATATAAGGAATTTATGGTGCTGGTCACAAAAACAGACAAGTGAAAAAAAGTTCAGCAATCCTGGTCTACCATGTGGCACTTCTGTTTAAAAATAAACATTCTTTTCAGTTCTACTAGTGAGATCAAGTGACTGAACAGCTTAATAAAAAAAAAAAGGCTTCAAGAAAATCTATCTTTCCTACAAAATATGACGATATATTTTCAAAGCATAAGTTAGAACTCAGCCATACAACTCCTACTAACATTAATGGAAGCTGCCTGTCAAAACCACTGTGTATTATGCTGAAAATGTCTTTTAGTGATAACAATAGGGACATACATATAAATATTTCACAGGAGGTGTTTCACAAAAGAAACATTTGTGATTTATGCTCAGCTGTGGATTCAGAAGTACCTGTATCACAGGAATACCTCAGAAATTAGTTTACTCTCTGGTTATATAGTCCATTATAATCAACTGTTCTTTCAAGAAACTTTCAACATAATTCTGGCTCTTTAAAGCAGACTTTTAAAGGTGGCACATGAGCGAAGTTATTTATGTTTCTGTGTTATCTGTATTACTTCAATACCTCATGTACTTTATGTACAAATAATCTTGCTAAATTACTTTTAAACCAGTTTCTAAAAATGTTACCTCTCCCCTTAGTAGAGGAATGATTCAACTTCTCCAAAATGAAGCAGATAGTATCAAAGAAAGATGGTAAACCTTGATATCGACTACAGCACAACAGGAAAACAAAAATATGAAGATTCTACTCTGTACCACAGGATGAAATCATAAAAATCTCGAAGCTGAAGTGAGATTGCATTATCAAGTCAAATATACGCTTCTTAAAATCATTGTTATAGAAAAAAAAAAAAAGTGTTATTAAAGGGCTAAAAGCCAATATAATTTGTATGTGTTTGATCAAAAAAAATATTTAAAAGTGACTACTAGGAGGAATCTGCAGCAGAGATTACATTTACAACACTGGTTTGCTGTTCTGAATGTTTTTTTGCTGTCACAGCAAAAGTCGAAGTTGCAACATATAAGTCTGTATTTCGGTATTTGGAGTCAGTCCTAATTTCTTAACAGGGAAAAGGTAAATATAATAGGATTTTTCGACAAAAGATATTTTCCTCCTTGTTTATGTTGGAGAAAATAGATTAAAAAGTGAGCCCTATATATGAAATCAATTTACAATTTAACAATTGTTGTATTGAGTTCCTTAATCCTGAAAGCTCAACTGAACATGCTTCCAAATACTTCGCCATCAGGGAATTTAAATTACGTGAGGTATCTCAGGGATTTTACCTAGCACACAATTGAAAGCTAAATATTGTTACCCTACTTCTAAGATATTAATCTACATAAAGTAACTCCTTTTGTAACAGGTAGAGGCCTAATTTGGACATCTAGGGTTAACATGGGCAGCTAAGTACTCAATTTGAGATTAAGCACCATAGCATCAAATGAAATCAGGCTAACAAAATAAAATATGTCAACCTCTCTTTCTAAATGCAACACAATTGGGAAAAGATATTTCGCAAACTTTCTAGTGTCTCTAAATTTGTAAATAAAAGGAGAAAGCTAGCTAGCATACTCAAGACTTAGTGACATAACAAACTGGAGACTTAGTATGGCAGTGGAGAAAATTAGTAGTGAGAACCCTCATCATTAATTATTCTTCTGTACATCATGAAGTTAAAATATAAGAGTATGAAAGTAAGAAAATTTTTGTGACTTTTGACAATTATTAGTAAGAAAAAGATGATAACAATTGCCAAAAAAATCACAAAAGTTGACATGTTACCTGGCTATGACAAAGAGCACACAACTGACACCCAAGTAAGCCAGCAGAATATACATCCAGATATCAGGGGAGAGAGGATTCAGGAAGGAGAAGACGCCCGGGTTTGTACCATTGGGCTTGCGGTACAAAATACTTATTCCAAGAGTCATAAAGGGCTTGGAAAAGTCGATGACCTTCTCTCGAACATAGGTAATTGCCAATGGTGCAACTGCAAGGTCAGCTTTCTGTTAACAGAAATACAAAAATAGAAACAAGCCATAAGTCAGGAGAAACAGGTTAAAGCAGAAAATCAGATTAGGTAAAATACAAACTTTACATTGAAGTAGTTTTTTCTTGTACTAGGTAGGCTGAAATTTAAAACTGTCTTCTCCTTATAAGTAAGGAAACAGAATTATTCTGCTTCCTGTTTGCTAAACTGACATAGCAGCATTTAGGAAAATTAAAAACACTATTACATGGATAGAAGCAAAGAAAAATACTGCATCTTACAGAAAACATGAACATCCATTATCATGTCTTTTAAAGCTTTTTAAAATGTACATATCAACATGTCTCCTCTTTGTCACTCTCTCACTGCGGTCTTTAGAAGCTAACATATTTGTGAAGCAGATATGAATATGCTTGTACAAGTGCAGGAAAAGGGCCAGGACGTAGTTTTGCTTATTTTAGCATTAAAATATTGGTACAAAATGAGGAACATTTTTAAAATGGGAAATGCTACACCTGAAAAGTTGCTACAGGCATAAGTTCTAACAAAGCACAACTGTCCTTATTAGTTTGCAGAAATCACTGTGAAACGTGTAGTTAACTATTAATCGATCGCAGCATTTAAAGAGAAATCTTACAATACAATGTATTTTGTCAATTTACATTTAATTTTAGTTATTACTACTGTGCATGTCTGTATGTGTACGTGTGTGTGTGTACATGTGCACTTATGAAAGAGGAAAGTTCAGAGCTAGAAGTTATGTGTACAAGACTTAGCAAGTTCTAAACTAAGAATTCCTTGTAAATATAGGTATGTAATGACATAAATAGTATCGCTATTGTGACATACTGTTATCCAAGTAACATAGCTGCAGATAACATCATTTTCAGAATGCCTGTTCTAACCAAAGATCCAGAGATTTTGTTCCCAATAAAATCTTACTAATTCATACATCTATATATTTTATTTTACTCAGTTGGCATTGTGTATACTGCATAACACTCAAAACCCCACACAATGTTACAGTATTTCAATGTTCCTTTTTTTTGTTGTCTCACCTTCCACAAAGTTCTATTATAGTCTATTGTTATTACAAGCATTTTGTGTATCATTAGGTCTACTCTAATAAAGTACTTCTATGTCACAATGTGAAACTGTTGGCACCATTTAAAATAATATCGTAAAGGTTTACTGGTCAAAACCATGACATATGCTTCATTTGCATTGGTATTCAGAAATTGTAAATATTAATGAGACTAGCAAGGCTTTATTCCACAGCAGCTGACTTTTTTATGGATTGCATATTATCAATGATATTCCAGCTGATGCAGAAAGGAAGCAGTAAAGTAAGAAACTAAAACTCATTTGGATTAAAAGTTATAGGTCAACGTGTAGAAGTTTGAGAAACCTAACGACTAAAGTTAGTTTCAGAGATAACTAGCAATCTTTACCCTAAGTATCTAAAGTCAACTCACTAGAGACTGTGAGAAAATGCGACTGCCTGAAGGTAGAGAAAATAGATCTTTTGGAAGGCTATTGGCAGTTCTGACTTTTGGTCTTAAAACATTATCAAGAGCCTTAATGGATAATTTCTTTGAACAAATACTTTGGGAAATCCAATGCTTGGTCACTAGATGAAAACAGAATGGTATACAAGTGAATATAGATCATGACTATCTCCAGTGGAGCAAAGCTCCAGGGAAGTTGCAGATGAAATTAGAAAAATAATCAAACAAGAATTATGTATGTCTTTTATGAAGAAGAGGACAATCAGATATCTCAACCTGGGAGGTACAGATCCAAAATGTAGGTCCGTATCTTAATCTTTCATGATTTTCTTCACAGCTTTAGTAACTTTATTTCAATATTATTGAACTAGTATATTACCATAAGAACAAAAATTAAACATCTCAACAAAACCAATATCCAGAGTCTTTACTGAGGAAACAAAAAGCTGTTAGCATGACTGACATAAAAATGCAATACCGCCAAATGTAACCACTTTTTCTAATCAGTTCTATGTTATCTCCAAAATACTCAATTCTCTTGGCAGTTGTTTCATTCTGAAATGGTGCTATATGAAAGTAAGAGAAATAAGGGGCCAAGTTTCCAGAAATGCAGTACCAGGGTCTCCTACAGTCTTCTAGAATGAAGATATACAAGTAAGAGAATTCTCTTTAGCTAATTTCTAAGGATGGATTGGAGAGGAATGGTGTAAAATTAGGATTTTGTCAATCTACATTTATCAACATTTACAAATGAGTACATCCTAAAATGGCTTTCTGATAAGTTCCATGACAAAGAATATTTGTTTCACTTGGCAATGACGTATGATTCCAGTTCTTAGAATGAATGGATGCATGATTCTATTTTTTAAAGAAAAAAAAATTATCTCTTTGAAAGCATAATCCAAAATAGCACTTATTCTTGACCTTAGAGTACTTGTGATGAAGGCCTTTTTATGACAGCATCCAAGAACTGGTAAGGATAAGCTATTTGATACAGAGAAAAATTCGGCACCAACTAAAAGTTACAATTGCAATTAGAACAGGTCTGACAAAGACATCCAACACAAGGCACAGTTCTACAGTAAAACAAACAGTAGCCATACCATGTGATGAAGGAGAGCACTTCAGACAGTAATGCCAATGTTAGATGGCAGAGACTGAATAAAAATACTCCTCACAATAAATTCTTACTTTAAATATGTCAAGTGTGAGGAAATCACAATCCTGCATTCACTCCACCATTCAAAGATATGGCATGATAAACTGGAAAATGGCACTCACATTCTGCATTCATCTTGACAGTTTTTCAAAAGAGGTTCTCTAGCAAGGAAGAGAATATCCAGGTCAAGAAGGAGGAAGAAACGGAATTTATTATACTCTACAAGACGCTTTTCAAAATCAACAGAACCCTTGGCAGTTATTCCTACCCTGCTTTCTCAAAGTGCATCAAGAGATATTTTGAATATTACTTTTAACAGTACATTCTCAGTAGTACTTGATCTTCCATCTTCACCCTCCATCTTAAAGAGTAGTGATATTTTCTCCTTTCATACTAGCATATACACTCTCAGTACGGTCTACTTTCTACATCACTTCAGAACTCTGTGAGCAGGGATTGCTAGACCTTCCCTTCTTTTTGTGCCGTATGAGGACGGCACATATTCTCTTCACAGCCATGTAAAGGTTTCCTGGTCTTGCTGCCATGTGCAGCTGTAGGATGCTCACTCACCAACAAACAACTCAAGGTATACATGATTTATTTCTGTTACGGAAGCACCTAAGGCATGATAAAATCCTCCTTTTCTTCTTCATTTACATTTTACTTCCAAACAGCTTGTTGACTATTTTACATAAAGTAAAATTTAAAGAAAAAAAGGAAGCCATTTTTTTTAGTTGCAAAGGGCTGAAATTTGGTACATAACCTCTAAGAAGATAAGTTTTAAATTTATATAGAATTCAATCTATGCATGCAGCTACTAGCAACTTCAGTAAGAAATCTGCACACAAATGCTGAGTAGTGCTTGGGCCATAGCATGTATAGTAAGTTGGTATTCACAGATATCGACATTTTGGATGGGAAAACTAACTGAATTGACTGAATTTTCTTTTGATGATCCTTTTCTAAAAACCTTTTGTCTCACCTATTTCATTCAAAGGAATGAAAAGTTTAATTTCAATCTAGACATACTAACCTGTGCTCGTTTCAGCTAGGTTAGTTTTTTCATAGTAGCTAGTATGGGGCTATGTTTCCGATTTGTGCTGGAAACAGTGTTGATAATACAGGGATGTTTTAGTTCTTGCCGAGCAGAGCTTACACAGAGCCAAAGCCTTTTGTGTTTCTTACACACTGGGGGTACCAGAAGTTAGAAGGGGACACAGCTAGTACAACTGACCCCGGTTGACCAAAGAGATATTCCAAACCATACGATGTCATGCTTAGCAATATAACTAGGGAGAAGGTTGTCAGGTGGGTTGCTGCTCAGGTTCTGGCTGGGCATTGGCAGGTTGGTGGTGAGCAATTGTTCTCATTTGAATCACTGGTCTTTCTTGAATTTTATTTCTCTCTTCTTGTTATTTTTGTCTTAATTAAAATTATTATTATTGCTGTTGTTATTACTAGTATTATTTCAATTATTAAACTGTTCTTATCTCAGTCCATGAGTTTTCTCACTTTTACCCTTCAAATTTTATTGCCTTTATCCTGCTGGATGCAGGGGGAGCAAGCGAGCAGCTGCGTGTTTGGTTGTCAGTTGGGTTTAGACCACAACACAATCACAAAGTGGCTAACAGTTACTTATAATTAGACTCTAGAGCTACAGAACAGTCCATCATAATAATGGAGTTATTTAGACTATGTAAATGGAGTCTGCTCTTCAGCCTAACACCCTAAGTCAATACATAAACTTCAGCCACCTGAAATTTTTGGAATTGTTAACATGAGAGCTGAATTTTAGTTACATTCCCTAGAGTTACATCTCTAAGCTAGACAGAGGAAGGCTAATGCCCAGCTTCAAATCTTTAAACCCATGTAACAGGCTTAATGCACAGAGAGCTCATGCATTAGTCCTGTTCACAGAACTGCATTTCCCTGTTACTGGTTTGAAAAACTGAGATCTGTAGTGTGCTTTTAAGCTTGTGATCAATCCTAAACTAGCCTGTTCATGCTGCTACATTATAGAAAATTTTACACTCTATGAGAAGCTTTGGGTCTTGACACAAGATCTTAATTTCCTTTTGAAACACTAGGACTTTATTATGGCTTTATTGCTATTTTTATTTTAACTAGCAATTTACATTATTTTGATATAAATTGTTTTTCATCTCTTTCTACTACCTTTCATGACCTTATAGGACAATTCAGGTGGGAAAAAACATCAGGAGATCTCTAATCTAATCTCTTCTTCAAAGCAGGGTCATCTACATGATCAGACCAGGCTGCTCTGGGCTTTAGCCAGTCAGTTTTGAAAACCGCCAAGAATGGAGACTACATAATCTCTCTGGATAACCT